GTTTCTCCTCTGACACATCACATACCTGTGTGCCGCCACAGCTCGGCTGTTCAGGTATTTCTGGGCAGTCATGAAATCAACAAAGAGGAAATTATTGGACCTGGAGCCGGACTTCCCCGTCACCGGTAAGCCTTATCATGCGGCGTATTTGACAGGAATACAACTTCTGTGACCCCCGTTCAACCCACAACTGGCAGGATTCGCCTTTCGTTTCTGCTGCTGGTTGAAATCTGTACTTGCATAACGTGCTGAATGATTTGTTTTACTTGCAAGAAGGTGGTTTTGCTTGCAAGAGGGTTTTGCTCAAGAGGGTGAGTGTCCATGCGCCATTGCGCATGGACACTCACCCTCTTGCAATTGGACTTTGAATTTATCCCACATGTAGTGGTACCGTGAGGTACCGTAGTACTACGGTACTCCGACAATGCTAGCGCGGGTGGCAACCAATCATGTGGGACATGGTCTCAATTTGCGTGACGTGTGAAAAGAGACAGAAATGCTGTGCAGTCCTGCACAGTGCCAGACATCTGGTCACCCTACTTAGCCACTGGCAAGCAGCAGCTAGTAGGGGGCCCCATTAGGGGGGATTCCAACGTGTTGTCATTGTTGCAGTTTCTATAAGAGTTCCATCATATTGTCATTGATATGGACCAATGTCAGCCGTCTCTGGGGGCCCCCTTCCAGCTTGGGGCCCTAGGCAATTGCCTAGTTTGCCTGTCCGGTTGCGACGGCCCTGCTGCTATCATAACACAGCTAATCAACGTGGCAAATAAGACTGCCCATGGGGATTTATAATTAGCTACATGGATGGAAAACCACATACAAGCCTATCTGAGACGAAAAATATATAACTACTACTCATGCTACTAGTAAAATGTAGCTTACCTGTCCAGTAGCAGAAAAGCTAGCTGCGCATCGCTTTTTACACCCTTGGATTCTTTAAGATTTCTCCACCGGTTGAAAGCGTCGCCGATATAAATGCGGGTTTTCATCATGTCACTCCTTTTTTTCTTGTCAGCTTGTTTTTCTTCCTCTGTTTTTTTGCATTTAGCGTGTTTCATTGTGTATGCCGTCTGCGACAGAGCTGGAATCGGTAGCTTTCCTTTCTCCGCCATGTTGGGTTTAGTGTATGCGCGTGCACACGCAGAGAGGACCGCCCCTTTATGTCTTCTCTCTCCTCATTGGATAAAGGTTGTAGGATACAAGCAAAATTTTCTCCTCGGCTTATTGCAGAGCAGAGTGACTGACAGACCTGTGTTATGGACCAAACACTCTAAGTGATTGCTGTGGGAAGATAGAACTATTTAAGACTTATATTAACACAAATATAATATCACTTACTTCAGCTCTTTCAAACCCCTGGCAAATAGAGGATTTACAACAGAGTGGGAAGTGGATGAGAGAGGATTAGTATTATCTTATTTAACTTTATTTAGTATGCTAGATGGCGAGTTGTAGTTTAAATCTAATTGGCAGTAATAAAGTGTTTTGAATGACAACCGCCATTAAAAAGAAGAAGAAGGTAACTGGACACAAGTCTCACAAACTGATGAAGAACTGTTTCCTCATGAGAGCTTTCTTCCTCCAGCTGCTGCACATGTGTGAAATTAGCATCAGCCCCAACAAAAAGAAACAATTTAGCTGAATATTTGATGTTTAAGAAGCAAACATTGCTGCCATCTATTCAAATGAACTTGATAGATGAACTAGAAACCAGAGGCAGGGGTCGCTTGCACTTTCCTCTGGGCTTGACAGGTGTCTGTGTGGAGCAGTCTTTCTCTTGTAGTGTCATCCAGTTGGTTGTAAAGTTAGGTAGCATTACTGAGTTAATCCACAGTAAATGATGAGCGTTTAGGCAGTTATAAACTAACATCCAATACCTGGTGCAAAGAAAAATTTAGTTTACCTGTCCAGAAGCAGTAAGGCCAGCTCTGCATCCATTTTCAACCCCCTCAAAACTTTAAGGTTTTTCCAATGATCAAAAGGCACAAAGATGTACATGCAGGTTTGCATGACTCTTGTCTTCTTTTTCCTGTCACTTTTCTTTTGTTCTTTCTTTTCCTCAGCAGTGTCACTGCCTGATTTGTACCAGAATCTCCATTTATTTTACACATGAAAAGATGTTTGGGGTTAGGCATCAACCTTGAATGGTTAACTGTTGCACCATCGTCAGTCCAAGCTCTTTTGCCAGAGTTGCGTTCACACAGAGGGGACCTCCTGTATTTGTTTACTGCACAGCAGAGGATGTTACTGATCAAACACTCTGTTTCAGTAAGAGTACAGAATTCAACACTTATTTAAAAACCCTCACAACACATTTAAATTTGGCAAAGTTGCACAAACTTATGTCAAAAATACTCCCTTTTATTCTTAATGAACTTTTGCACATCCCCTTAAATATATTTTTGCACATTCTTGCCGAGCTCTTTCATCTTGAACATTAACATAATTTTAAATATTGTTCAAATATTTTTATTTTATTTTTTTCTATTTTTTGTTTATGTTACTTGTCTATGCACCAAAACACTTAAGCAAATCTTTAAATCTTATCGTTTATAATTCAAAATATTATGGAGGAAAAAAAACAGTGCACACAATTTCAAAAATCTTAGACAATGTAGGCCTAAAAGGTGAACGGTTCTGGCAAAGATAAACTATAAAATAAAGTTTAAGAAGCACAATTAAAGTAAATAGATACATAAAAATAAAGAAATAAAATGTAATAAAAGACTGAAGATGAAGGGTTTGAGTTAGTGCTGTGTACTAAAACAGTAATGGGAGTTTTTGTGGTTCTTCATATGAAAAATGCCACAGTATTTCAGAGAGAAAAGAGGATTTACATCATTATGTGCTTCTCATAAAAAGTTTTACTATAAACAGATCTTGTGTAATAAAAGTGGAATTATGTTTTTCAATGTAATAGTTCAAGATTCTGCCAAAACTGTACAACAAAAATGTACAACTTTGCTAATTTATCTGTTTCTTTAAAGCGTAAAGATGAGAAAAAAAATTGTAGAATTTTTTAACCTACTTCTCTGGCTTGGTTACACACAGGATTTTTAATTAAAAAAAAAAAAGCTATTATTTCGAGAGAGAATCCAAATCAAATTTAGCAGACATTGGCTTCTGCATCATGTGCATCATTTCCTGTGAACTGGTACTAACTGTTAAAAAAGCCAGCCATTAAAGCATATATCTAACTACATTCAAGAAACTTCATGCTATACGCTGACTGACTAATAACAAAGGAAAGTAAAAAAAAAACATCCAATACAGCTGATACAGTGAAAATTAACAATACACATCCTTGACACAGCGAAACAAAACATGATTTATTATTATTATACACTGAATGATGTTGACAGTATTCTGAGAATAAGTTTAGATCCTTCTGCAGTTCTGCCTGTACAGGAGTAGGTAGGCCTACTATATCTGCTTTCTTATTGTTCTCCTCTTTGTTTTTGTAGTTTACTTACTTTACATATTTATATATTACTTTGTATTTAAATTTTTACCACTGATGCTTCCTGTTTGCACTATCCCCTTGCTGCTGTAATGTTGCAAATTTCCCTACTGTGGGATGAGTAAAGGATTATCTTATCTTATAAATAAATACACAACTATAAAAACACCACAACCAATAACAGCACCAGAAAACCAAACACCAACAAAAGAACTCCTTAACATTATTATAAACTGCATGTAATCCCTCTCAATTAACACTTATGACCCAGTAGAAGTGTGAGGCAGTCTATTTCTCTGCAGAAACCCTGCCCTCTGCCTGTGTTTTCTTATTTTCTTTTCATTTTGTCATGATCGGGACGTTCAGCACACAGGTGAGGTCTTTATAAACAGGTAGCAACAAGGTCCCAGACTCTGAGCAGCAGACTCGAAGAGGAAGGTACAAAAATATGCAAATAAACCAAAGTGAAAGGTCAAATGGACAAAGCTGGGGTTAGCTTTCACTTTCACTTTCACTGGAGATACTGTTTACAAACACAACAATGCCTGCATAGTAAACCTTTAATAAGTTGATAGTAGTTTGGGCACGGCAAAATCTGCTGATAATGCAGGACCTAGCTGACATTTACTATACTAACTGGTGCAAATTGCTTTGCACATTTACAATTAATCAAATTGAAATCAGGGGCTTCTGGGGCCTCTTGAGGCTGTTGCCACTCTGCCTGGGTGCTTTCCTGCAGGAAATGTATAAATATTTGTTCTGCCAGTATGAAGAATGACAGCTTTGTGAAAAAGGCTGTAGACAATGCTTTCGCAACACAACAACCAATGCAAGTTTTGAATCTAGTATATTAAAAATGAATACGTTGCATTGCTGTTTTTCATGCATACAAATGTGAAGGCTTTTGGGATGCTGCAGTCATCTTGAATGCATTAAACGCAGCTTTATTAAAGCAGAGAGCGACATGTGGTGCATCAGTGTGACCCGAGACAGTGTGCTGCTGCTGACTCCTGCAGCATCTCCCGCTGTGTGGGACCATCATGTCACTGTGCTCGGCGGAGGGATACAATAACCAGTGTCATCGTGGTGCTGAGGCTTTTGCAAACCAAAAATGTCTGCCTAAGGGAAACTCGTAACTGATATATATAGAGGATATTTCACCCAGGTATTGCTGTTTAAACCCACATTTTGCTCTTCCGAGGCGTGTTGCAAGAAAGCGGGTCTTCACCAGATCACCCTAGTCGGGATTTTAATCGGAAAAAAGGTAAAATATCAGTGGGAGTTTACCAAAAGCTTTCGGACCAGTGAAAGAAGTTGGGAGTTGAGAAAGACCATCACTGCGTTTTGTATCCTCGAGATGGAGATTAAGGCTGTTATTTTTAATATCTCCCTGGCTGAGTTACTTATTTTGAATCAGTGTGTTATCTGTGTTTGTCTCGACCCGTCAGAGAGAGGGGTCCGCTCTGTAGTAGCTAATGTCTACAGCCGCTGCAGCTGGTCGCTAGCTGCTCTCAATACAAATGAACCAGTAACTGCAGCTAGCGTTAGCCTGCTAGCTAAGGGGACGTTATGTGCTCGGCAAACGTTAACCATCGTTATGTCGGACTGACATTAACACCGCCGGTGAAAGCCTCATCAGTGAGTCTCATAAATATCGGTGTTACTACAGAGAGACATAGTTACTGCAATAATGCTGCAGGTCTTGAACGAGCTGTGCCAGACACCCACCTCTCTGTTTAATCAATAGGGATAATAAACTAAAGGTGTGCACAAAATGTTTGCACTATTTTAATGTGTTGCAATGCAGCTGGACTGTCTGTGTCTCCATTTGCTGCAATGCCAGAGCCAACTTTACTTCTCAGTGATGGTCTTTTATTCTGCATCCATAACAATTGCCTCTCGTGGCAGTCATTTCCTGTGGCACCAGCCACGCTGTGACCTGATGGACTGTGTTTTCTTCAGGTTTCTAGATCGCCAGGATGAATCCTCAGCAGCGGATTGCCGCTCTCGGAACAGACAAGGAATTAAGTGACCTGCTGGATTTCAGTGCGGTATGATGGCTCTTTGCCTTTTTTCTTTCTTTTTTTTACCACTTGGTGCCATGCAGCTCTGAGGGATTTTTTTGTAGAGGTGTGAGGACCAAATAAGCCAAAGCATGACTAATTGATCAGTTCATATTAGTGTCGGCAAATGTGATTTGACAAACCATCCTTTGTTTGTTTAAAATCTTGAGCTGCTTTCTGGAAAATTGCAGCAGATCATGTGTGTGGTTGCTGTTGAGTCTTTGCTCTAATAGAAGGTCCATATTCTTCCTTCCAGATGTTCTCTCCACCTGTAAGTGGAGCGAAGAACAGGCCCACCACACTTGGAAGCAGTCAGTTCACTGCGTCAGGTAGGAGCCCTCAAACCCATTTCATTACACCCTCTGATGTGATCTTTGCATTGCATGTGATGGTGTTCCTTCCTCTGTCTGCGCTGGTGGGTTCTCCACCTGGAATCACAGTGGAGTAAAGATGTAGAACAAAGCAAGGTTTGGGCCACATGTGTAAATGAAAATGATCCAATTAGCAAGATGGTGAGATGCAGTGAATCATGTTTTGCCGTACTGTCAGATGCATAAGTAATGTGTAAAGTGCTGCTTTGATCAAGGTGTGTGTGCAGCAAGTGTTCATGGAATCAATACAGGATGTTCTCTTATCAGGATTCGCTGTGTGGTGTGTTGGAGGCAAATTTTAAATCAGGAGTATTTTACATGTCTGAGTGAGAGGCAATCAAAAGTGGAGCTGCTTGAGAATTGAGAATTGTGAGACATCCTCTCATAGAGTTATTCTGTAGTACTTTTTTCTTCGTACAAGTAGCAGAATTGATAAATGGCCAGTCCTTCTGATATACACGCATTGTCACACTGTCTTTTCCACAAATTACTGCTGTTTTTTGTTTATCTATGAGCGTCTTGATGGGTGGTTTGCTTGCAACAACAAGAGGTCAGATTCCCTGCTCTTGGATTGCTTCCCGGCTATAAATGCTACAGGACATTAATCCGAAGCACATCTATTGTCTGATGTGCTACTAGAGAAAGTCAACAATCAGGCATTATGTTTTCTGAAAGCATGTTTTGTGTGCATCCACAAAGCCTCGTTGTAGTCAGTTATCTGTGAAACGAAAGACACACACTTAGTGAAGGAAAAGGCAAAGACACAAGAGCAGAGCTGTCTCACATGAACTGTGGAGTTGTGGGGATTCATTTTAGTATACCTGATCATTCAAGTGAGGAGGGTGTGTGTGTGTGTGTGTGTGCTCTCTTTAGTAAAACAAGGAAACTCTACAGTGAAGTCACACCTGCCTGGTGCGGTTCCCACAACGACGTCAGTTGTATGTGTGAATGACACAAAGATTTCCAACTATCAAGATTCTGGCTGTTTTTTAGAATCACATTAAAGGTGTTTTTGTTAACCTTTTTATATAACGCAGTCCAGCACACCTAAACCACTAACCGCAGCCTCAGATATTTAGGAAATCAACTAGACACTCAAAACCGTGTCAATAAAAAGTGTGAAAGATAAGGTTTATTGCAGTTTTGTTTTTGACTTGTTTGCGTCAGATCATGCAGATGTACCAAATAAACTGGTACCTCACTGTGTATTTGCTAATCATTTATAATGAAATGTTTTCAAAAGCCAGGTTGTTAGTCTTCTCTGAAACACACTGATGATTCATAATGAAACTTTCGATACTTGAAGGTTGATTGGTCTGCAGATAACCATACCTTGATAACCACATGCACTGACTGTACACTTGAACGACCGCCACATGTGCATTCTCAAACATCTGTGTGCTTTATTATTGAATATAGTAAGATGTGGACAGCCACCTTTAGCCTGAGCCTTGCACTCTGTGACCTTTAAAACAGACCCCATCAGCATGGTGCTTTTTGTCCGGGACAGAAAAGAATTGAAGACCGTCAGGAGAATCGTGTGTCACGGCCAAAGCTCATTGTCAGGACTGTGTGTTGTCTGGTGACCAGCTTTGTCCTTTAGAAATGTAACAAAGTCTGAATGTGGGCTGTTGTTTTGCACCACTTCCAACAAAAAATGTTAAAAAAAAAAAAATTGGACATGACTAGAAAAAAGAGACTTCAGTCAAGTAAACAGTTTTATTTACACATTATATTTATAATATTTCAATTTCCTATTAAGATATTTGTGAAAAAACAGTGTTAATCTTTACCTTTTTTTCTGAAAAAATCAAATATCATCCTTTTATATTATTTATTTTTTCCAAATCTCAACCATCTACAAGGGTCAGAAAAACAACTACAGAACTTCCCAGGTTCAAGTGGATTGTCAGCAACTTACACTTCATTGGTAACTGATTAGTAACTAATTTAGTAATTAGGCAGCCATAGTAACCAGATTATTTTTGGTGACGCCATATTCCATCCACATATGAAAGAAGAAAGAAAAAGCTTCATCAGTCAGTCGACACAAGGCAATTTTACACAAGGCAAATTCAAACAAGGCCGCTGAAATGTATCTCTCTGCATATCCCTGCTCTTTACACACACCACACACACATGCATTTCAGAGGGGTCAGCGTGCTCAAACTGGTATCTCTCCAGCAAGTAGCATGTTCACACTCCATACTTGGTCCGTACAGGGGACATTAATTGCGACCCTCCAATTTTCAAGCCTCTACTGTGATGGTCAACATGATGATGGATATATTTTGTTATAAGGGAAACAATATCTGCATAACTTCCAATTCTTAGATCAGTGTCCTATTTGTTTTCTCTATGTGGAATAAAATGAAATGCTGTTACTATGATTTAACTCACAGGCAATGACAGTTGAATGCATTGACTTGTGGTTCAGCCTCAAATATCTGAATGAATGGTTAAATGGCAACTCAGAACTTTAGTATTACCCTGACATAATGAAACCCCAAATATTAAATGCATCAATTATGAGTTAGTTCAGTATTTTGTGGATTGGGTAATTGTGTCTGTGCCAGTGGTTGGAAAATAACTATGTGCCAGACGTCAAAAGAAAGGAACTGTATTCATTAGTTTAACTTTTAAGTGTTTTGTGGCAGATCTTAATCCAAGATGCTAATAACTCAAATGACCTACAGATATGGAATATACAATATTTTTTTTAGCTCGACAAGTAGTGGGTATTTGAAGCTGATAACGATATGTGTACGATCAGCGTATTGGCTGCTAGTCATTTTGTTTTCGACAAACAATCATATAAACAATTTTTATGCAGATTCCTTAGATTTAAAAAGAAATGTGACAAAGATAGTCACAACCTCAAAAATAGTTTGCCTTTACTGTACTGCAATTTCTTGGTGCTTATTGGCCAACATATACCGATATATCGGCTGTTAACTAATATTATATCAGCTGTCTCGCTCTAGTTCACAGGTTTTAAATGTTGTCTGCATCTGCAGGTATAGGAGTTCTATTATTAAAAAGTCACATCAACACCTCAGGTAGTTGGTAATCATTATCTTTTTTATGTCCTCCTGAAAATGTTATATAACGGAATTATGCAAAACTAAACCTATATCGCATGAGAAATAATGAGGTTAAAATGAACTGCTTTACCTCGGCAGTGTGTCGAGCCTATAGCGGGTAAAATCCCTCCTTCCCTCAGCCCACAGTATGTGCTCCAGTGTCTCTGATCCTCAAGGAAAGGCAAGAAGCACATACATAAGTGATTGTGAACATAAGGCAAGTGAGTGTGCAGACAGAAGTGTGGAAATTGCAGGGAATGAGAGTTTGGATTATTGCATCTCAGCTGGGCATAGCCAGATAATTGAGGCAGAGTGGGACTGGCAAGACCCTTCAAACGTGTGCCAGAAAAAGATGGATTGGAAAAAATATCCAAAGTGGCTCTAACAGAGATTCATCATTTCTCCCCTCCAGCTGTGTTGATGATGCAAATTTGATGAGGCCATTGACTGTTACAGTGTAGTGGGGCAGTGGATGGCTGCTGTTGAATGGGTAATTTTCATTTAGTGGTATGTAGTGGTACATTTGTTAGCTGTGACCAGCAGCTAGTGTAGGCTGGTGTCTCAGACAGCTGGATACCAGAATTAAAAAGCACAGCTACAAAGAGTCTCGCTGCTGCCTCTGTTTGAGCTCAGCTTGTTTGGTTCATCAAAGGTCACAACAGAGGGCCGCGGCTGCACTTCTGCGTGATGGGAATCAATTCTCAAACAGATTTTTATCAATACAAATCCTAGCTAGTGATTTTATTTGACATTCATATTTTGTTCTGTTGTTTGTGTTGATAAAGATCGCTTTAATTGAACAAGTCATTAAATCTTTTACAGGGTAGATACATGTGAGATGAGATTGTTAACATTGTTCTCCAGCACATGAAGCACCATTAAGTCTATATCTTAGCGGAAAAAATAGTAGTGATAACTCTTATTGTAAATTGATTATTGAACTTGTGGGATTTGCTGATGATATCAGAAAGCAAATTGCTGAGCACGTTGATTTGTGTTGTTCACAGCCTACTCTGTGGATGACTGTACAGTTTATTTGAACCGCTTGAGGCTACGTCCAAGCAAATGTGGCCCAAATCCAATTTTTTTTGCTCTCATGTAACACAGAAATCTTAATTTTTCCAATCAGATCTGGGCCACTTTCATATGTGGTCCTAAATCTGATATACCCCAGTCGCCAGCCAATCGAACCCGACTGCCAGACGCTTTCTGACTGGGACATCTTGCCTACATGCCGCGACAGCGTTGTCATGAGGCGCAGACAGAAATACAGGAATGTAGCCCTGGACATTGTAGGTTTGGAAGAACCATTCCTACGTGAAACCCTTCATACCATGGCCCCACTGCTCCACCTGACTCCTCTCCTGGCGACACCCACACCTCTCTTCACAGAACTACCAGCGTTAGTTGCTAATAGAGCAAGTGGACTGAAAGCCCTTTTGTACAACAGACCAATATCCCGACAACAAACAGCCATTGCACCGACGGGCCGTGTCTCCAGAAATACGCTACACAATCTCCCAAACAGAATAACATGGCTAATTATTATGCAGAGTGATGTCATAGGACCTTCCTACTATGGCGATCATCATTTTCAAGTGTGATGTTTTTTGTTGTTGTTACAATGCACACGTGTGACGTTATTGGTCGGATGTGAGGTGTTTCAGAGCAAAGGTCCCTTGACAGTGATGTCAGATATGAGTCACTTCAGACATGAATGTGAACAGTCGTGGCAGAAAGATTTGCTCAGGACAAATAATTGAAATTTGAGCATTAAGCGTTGTAATGTGAATGTAGCCTAAAGAACTAAAACACACTCAATGGACATCCCTGGACCATCCCTGCACATGTGAATGACCAATATCAGACTGTAAT